TGCTCTTCCGATCTCCGGAATGGACAGAATTGACAACTCTCTCATCCGCGCCCTTCCCAGTGGCCTGTCCTCAGTACTACTTGACATCATCAACTCTCTGTTTCAACAGGGAGTCTTTCCATCAACTTGGTTGCATTCATTTGTCTATCTTATCCCCAAACCTCAGGGCAAGGGCTTCCGCCCCATAGCGCTTACTTCATGTATTTTCAAGCTCGCAGAAAAAATGCTTCTCAACCGTTTACAATGGCTCATTAAAAACCAGGTGTTACTTCCCGAACACCAATTCGGCTTTCGCAGCTTTCGCTCCTGCCTGGATAATCTTACGATATTGACCGCGGACGTACAAGCGGGATTTCTGCAGCACAAGCACACTGCTGCGCTATTTGTTGATATAAAGTCTGCCTTTGATAACGTTCTTCCCAATCTGCTTTTGCAAGATCTAGCTTCTCTCAATATTCCTCCCTGCTCCCTGAAATTTATAGCAAATCTAATTTCATGTAGGAACGTTCAATTTGTAACGCAAGGAACACTACACCCTACGAGGATTTCGCGCAAGGGCACTCCTCAAGGCGCTGTTCTTAGCCCTACCTTGTTTAACTTATATCTCCGCAGAATATCCTCGACTCTCCATCCTGAAACCAAAATCATTCAGTTTGCAGATGATATAGTCTTATACTCTACATCATCGAATCCTAAGCTAGCTTTGCAGTCTATCCAGCATTCCCTGAAAAGAATGGGAGACTTCCTACTTCAACTGGGGCTTGAAATCTCACCGGAAAAAACGCAGTTTATGGTGTTCACGCGATCCCCAAAACCAATCTATTCGGATCTTGCAATTTCATACAGAAAAACCAAAATTAGCTCTTCTGACTCAGCTAAATTTCTCGGAGTTACTCTAGACCCGGGATTAACCGGGAAACTTCATCTGGAGCGCGTCAATAATAAAACACGCAAGGTTTCGCAAGTTTTATCTGCCCTTAGAGGAGTGTGGTGGGGATCTCCTCCCCAAATGCTCCTCAATGTATATCGAGCCCTGTGTAGAAGTGTTATGGAATATGCATGTCACATCTTTTGCCTTGGCGACTCGAAAGGGCGCCAGAAGCTTCAAATTACCCAAAACTCGGCAATTCGTACCTGTTTAGGCCTTCGAATATCTACACCTCTCAACATATTATTTGCTGAAGCACAGGAACCCCCCTTTAAACTCAGAGTGAGGCTTCTTGCGTATAAATACTTGCTTAAATCTCTCTCAATTACCGATCACCCGGTGGTCGAAAGACTTGAAAATCTTATGATCCTAACTGACTCCCCCGCTAAGCGTTCCTACGTAGCTAGTAACTTCCCTCTAATCTCAATCTTTCGACAACTACATCACCTCAAACAGCAAATCCATCATACGGTTATCCTGCCGAAGTTCAGCTACACCTTCGCCTCCATGTTTATTTCTCCAGAAATACTCTATTCCCCTGAAGAATTCTTAACTCGCCTGAACAATTCGTCTCCGGAGCTGGCACGAACCCTTTTCTTAGAAACTTTTCGGGAATTTATAGGACAGTCGACTATCTTTTACACGGACGGATCTAAAATAAATGAGAGCTCATGTGTGGGCGCGGCGTGGCACTCCCCTCTCCTTGGAATTGAACTTATGGATAGACTCTCTCACTATGCATCCATCTTCTCGGCAGAAGCATGGGCTATTTACAATGTAATTATTTCACTAAAGATTTACAATGTTTACGATGCAGTTATAGTGTTTGACTCAAAAAGCGTCTTACAGGCCCTAGAAGGGGCGTCATTATACAACAATAACTACCTGATTCCGCTCATCAAAGCTGAACTAGAGGAGGCAAGTCGCAATGGGATCCGAGTGCGCTTCATCTGGATCCCGTCTCATAAAGGCATTCCTGGAAATGAGAGGGCAGACATTCTCGCGAAAAAGGCCATTAAGGAAGGTAGGAACAACTTCTTCAAAGTTCCTCTTTCAGATCTCTTTACCATTCCTCGCAGAGAGCTAGACATAAGTTTCGACAACTATCTTAACTTTTGGGCGAACAGCAAGGGTATACAGTACTTTCAAAAGATTTATTGCAAGCAAAAAAAACCATGGTACTACTTCTTCAAACTGGATAGGCAGGCAGTAGTAACAACAATGAGAATTCGTTCAAATCATTATAATCTTAACGATAGTTTACATAGGAAAAATATTGTTGACAATCCGACCTGTACATGTGGTCACCTCTCACAAGACATTAATCACGTGATATTTGAATGTCCTGAAACCGCAGAACACTCCCATCCCTTAAAGAACTTTATCGCAAAAGTCAGCATTGGTGCCTTTCGTAGAAAAAACATTTTTGATGTACTCAAGAAACCTTCTACTCAGCTCTACCGTCTTATTATGTCTTTTTGCAAAGCATGCAAATTATACATTTGAATTTCCCGCTTAAGACTGCGCATGGCCGTACCCCTACTCCGACTCCTACTCCGATACCCCCCAACTCTACTCCCCCTTACTCTGGGCTTGTGCGTCCAACGGCCACTCGACATGACTCAGAATTGTCCATACCGACCATGTAACCCACATTTCGTTACATCTCGCACTTCCTACACAGTACAGATATCTCGAATACTACAGTTTCTGGCCGACTTAACTCTCAACTGAGAGCAGGCGCCATAATAAAAAGAAGAAGAAGAAGAAGTCAGTTGATCGACGAGCCGACGATTTCGCAGATCCACGAGCAATCCGTAATGCGCGAGAAAATCTGCCCCAATAATGGGCTTTGCCACGTCCGCGATCACAAACCGCCACACAAACGCGTGTGATCGGAGTCCGAGGTATAGTGTTAAAGTTTCTGTTCCGTATGTATGAATTACGGTGTCATTTGCTGCGGATAATTCGTAGGACGATCTCTGTCGTGGTCCGCGAACCATCCTCCGGGGATACACGCAGAGATCCGCGCCCGTGTCGATAAGAAAATTAATTTTTGTATCTATGTCCGTCACGAAAAGGCGACGCGTTTGATGGCCTCCGTCTTCCGTCGCCATCAACGAAGGGCCGTCGCGTTTCCCGACTGCTGCGCGGAGCAGGGCGCGTCGCACCGAGTAGCCTCTGGACCAAATCGCCAATG